AAAGGCTTTCAGCTAATCAAAAGGCAGCAGCCATTGCAGGCCTTTATTCTGTGTTTTCTTAGAATTTGCAAAGCTATTATTTGAAGATATACTTGTGTTTTGAAATAAAAATGTCCATAATGTGTCCAGGTATGATCTGGGAGAGCAAAATTACATTAGCTTCTAATTCTCTTGATGTGCCATCTAGAGCTGATTCTCATTATGGCAGTTTAGTAGTTCCTGTTCACTTAGAAATTCTTAACCCACCTTCCTGGTGCAGGAATTGTACTGGTTGCTAATTTCCCACGAGTGGAAATATGTAGAGGCCACTGGAAGAAGAAAAAGGTTGCTTACCAGTAACTTCAGATTCCAAGATTCCAGAAAGGACCATTGGGATCATCTAGTCTGACTTCACGTGTAACACAGGCCAGAGAAGTTCCCCAAAATAATTCCTAGAGCAGTTTTTTTTAAAAAAAATCCAATCTGGATTTAAACATTGTCAGTGATAGAGAATCCACCATGACCAATGGTTAATTACCTTTGCTGTTAAAAATGTATGCCTTATTTCCAGTCTGAGTCTAGCTTCAGTTTCCAGCCATTAGATTGTGTTAGAACTTTCTGTGCTAGACTGAAGAGCTCATTATCAAATATTCCCCATGTAGGTACGGCAATCAAGGTAGCCTTCTTTGTTCAGCTAAATAGATAGACTCAAGGAGCTCAATCACTGTAAAGCAGATATTCTAATCCTTTAATTGTTCTCGTGGCTTTTCTTTGAACCCTCTCCAATTTATCAACCTCCTTCTTGGATTGTGGTCATCAGACCAGACCACAGCATTTTAGCGGTGGTTGGTCAGTGTGTGCGTGCGCGTGCTCTGCACATTCACAGTTCAGCCCACCTTCCCCCACTTCAGTCTCACGTCAAGAACTCCATAAGTAAAGAAGGAACTGGGAGGCTTTTGGGGCCACTGCCCCTTATGTCTTCAGAACCGTCTGCAAGGTAGGGGGAGGAAGGGAAAAGTGGCCCCAAAGGACAGTGCTCTCTAGAAGATGTTAGACCGAGAGATGCCAATCCCACAAGTGTGCGTATGCAGAGGGCACCCTGATGACTGTTCGGTAACTTCTGTCCGTAGTGATAGGAAGGAAAGAGCAGGTATTCTGTTGGGCTATGTTACATTTTAGTTGATGCTGAGACATCTAGGACAGGCTGTGATTTGGCATTGGATGGAGGGACCTGAAGCAGTGAGCAGATTTGTAGTGGAGAAAGTCTCCGTCATGGGACTTTCACAAACTAAGCAGGGTGTGATGTCTGGTCACCTCTCCAAGGAGAACCCAACTTGTGACATAAAGTCTGTTTTCTCATCTCAGGTGATTGAGAAGGCAATCTTCTCAGTACTGACCAAATGCCCTTTGCTGCGCTGCAGTGCTCAAGATGGTTTGATTTACATCAAGTGGAGAGTCTGCATTTAAATTGACTTTTAAAGAGGTCTCAATGGCATTCTCAATGGTTGATACAGCCATTAAAGTTTGATTTACAGCAAAACAGAGTCTTTATGCTAGATTTGATATATAATTTTTCTCCCTAGGAGGGTACATTATATCTACATACTTTTATTTAGGTAGTTATGTTGTTTAATATTTTCAGGTTCTTATTAATTCTACATTTTTAGTATGTAGAAAACAGTGACTGATATATTGCTTATTAGATAAGTAACTTTTTTGCTTATGCTTTGTGTCAAGCTGCATTATGATGGTAACTGGCATTTAAATACAATAGCATATAATTTTTTATTAAAACAAGCCCTTAATGCAGTACATAACCTATTGTGCCATATTTATAAAGCTTGATCTCAAAAGTTAGAGGTTTTTCCTCTGATTCTTTCTTTATATAGAAAATCAGCCTTTAACTCAGTTTTTGATAGAGGCTCATGGATTCTGCATACTTTTTTTTATTTAAATGTTTTTCAGAGATTATAATAAATTTAGGTCTTAACATATATTTTGTATTAAGTTTAGATTTCATTTAACAGATTTATTTTGAAAAAGAAAAATGTATTTAATATCAATTTAAATAATAAAATCAATTTAAATAATCCAGTTTTGTTTTTTAAATCATTTATTTTTAGCAGCTGGGTCTGGTGGCTGATCCCTGGCTGAATCAGCGCTGACCCCAGGGTCCCAGCATGGTGCTAAGGGTGTTGTGCTTCTGGCAGAGAGATGTAATACCGAAGTCCTGAGTGAGTGTAAGCAGCCCAGATTCCATGTGTAGTAGGAGAGATGAGGGCCTCATGTGTTGGCCAAATTCAAATATAAGGACTCTCACTGGCTAAAACTTCATGCAATTTCAGTCTGATATGGTGTCATTCATTTTCCTGTTCTCTTTGTGTAGGTAGTTGGTGGTGGTAAACAGCAGCTGCTTTCCATCCCAGATGTAGGATCATGTTAGTGGTGTGATTCCTGTGTGTTTGTAGTGAAGGCCAGGCAGAGGCAAATGGGAGTAGTCGGTGCCTTATTGTAAAAGGATTAAGAAATTGCAGCCATTTATAAAATGCATCTGTGCTCATCTTCCCCACCTTGTCTCTAAATTTGGAAGCACTTTGGGGCAGGGACAATCTCCTATGTATTTGAACAGTGCTTAATACAACAGGATGTGACCCTGATTGGAGCCTCTGGGTGTATGTGGTACACTGGCTTGTTTGTTTTTAAAATCGCAATGAGTCTGAGTCTGGATCAGCTGGCTTGGGCTCTTGGGGCCTAGGCTATGGGGTTATAAAATTACAATGTCGAGGCTCGGGCTGGAGCCTGGGGCTTTGAAACCTCCCATCTCGCAATTTTATAATCCTGTGAACCCAAGTCAGCTGACTTCAGCCAGCCGTGGACATAGTGCACGTTTATTGCAGTGTAGATGTACCCCGGGTGCCTCACAGAGCCAAGACTTGTACGTCAGTAGAGCACTAGCAGCAGTAGAAGATGCTATAAAAACGACAGGCCCTGATGGAGGGAAATGGTCTGAGCAAATCATCGGGGTGTTGAAGTAAAAGGGTAATAGAAGTGTAGGGCTGGAAGAGATCTCGGAGGTCATAGAGTTCAACCTCCTGTGCTGAGGCAGGACCAAGGAAACCTAGACCATCCCTGCAAGGGGTTTGACCAACCTGTTCCTAAAAACCTCCAGTGTTGGGGATTCCACAGTTTAGATTCTTCATGTATAACACACCGCCACCTCCCTCTTTCTCTGCCTACCTTTCCTGAACAGACTCTACTGTTCTCTACCAATATTCCAGTCAGAAGATTGGTTAGTTAGTCCATAAACTAAATTATTACTGAACACTTCTAGTTTTTGTTTATTCTCCGTACTCCTTGCATTTGTCTGTAGGCACCTGAGATGTTGAAAAGAGTCCCCCTCTGATTTCCCTCATGTGGCTCCGATTACCCTATTGTAATTTTCCATGATCCCCCGGCAACATCAGCTGTACTGCTGACTTCTCCATCCTTGCTTCCAGAGGCCTGTAGTCACTGCTGATCTGCTCAGGGTCACATCTGACAATACCATAAGTACACACATGGATGAGCAGCATGGGGTAGCTATCAGGGGAGAGATGAGCCACGACAACCTTTCCGTAATGTCTCAGATGTGGGCTCTAGGCAGGCAGCACTCCACATGGGACATCAGGTCAGTAGATAAGATACCTCCATCCCCTACAGAAGGGAGTCCCTGACAACTAGCTTTCTATGCTGCCTTCTCTTGGGTGGCCATGAGGCTCCCAGCCTTGTGGGGAGGTGGCTCCTCCTCAGCCATTGGGGTCTGCTCCTCACCTCATGTTGCCAGTGCAGCATACTGGTGCTTGACCATGCTGGGTTGGGGATCGGGGTGGAGAACTGCTCCAAGTGGCCAATCTACTCCCTGCAGAGCAGACTGTTTTCCTCCTTCCTCTGGTGATGCTCTAGTGACGTGTAGTCGGCTACCATCCTCTGTCCCAGATGCTTCGATGTGCATCCCATCGGTGAAGTCCTCTGTCTCCCAGATTCTATGCAGACATGCAGCCTCCTTCTGCAGGTCTTACCTGCTTCTTGAGCGACTCCAACAACAGCTATTTCTCAGACTGGTTCCACCTGCTTGGCTTCTGGCAACAGGGACATGCAGGCCACGTTCCTAGTAGATCCTTGGTGGCAGCTGCTGCATGTCATGGGAAAATGTACCTTACCAGTAGCAAGGGACTGCAACGTTTCCTGTTGCTGTGACTTGCTCTTCCTCAAGTCTCTCTAACTTGCATTCAAGCACCTTTCTCTTAGGCTCTCCTTGGCTCTTAAAAGCTTATCTGTACGAAGGCGTCTTTGTCCCTCTCATGCTTTGTCTGCTCGTCTCGATACTTCCTTAGAGCTCGTCTGCGCACATCTCAAGTGCGGGCACACTCGCACTGGGTTATAGCTGTTCATTGGTAAGCCTGCTGATGCCAGCTAAAGTACTATCAACAGTTTCAATCTGTTCTACCTAAATTGGTGCAACAACTGTGTAGACAGCTGTGCATCTCACAACTGTCTTGATTCCCCTGTGTCTGAAATGGCTTCCCTCCTTCTGTGCTTCAAGCAACATCACTCCTTGCAAATCCCTCCTCACACTTCATGTCTGCTTGGTTTCCACGTGCGGGTCCTCTCTTCACCCCCTGGATCTGCATGGGGGCATGATTCTGATAGAACTAGAAATATCATAAACGATACAAACAAATCAATGCCATGAGGCAACTCAAATGACAAGCTAATATCTGTGCAAAAAGTTCTCTCCCTAGAGCATTCCCTCCTCTCCCGTCCACATGACTCCTGGTCTGCCTCTACACGTGTGGCTTAGAGTGTAGACTCTGCTGGGACAGACCGTACCTTACATGAATAACCAAGTCTCAGACTGCACCCTGTGACTAAGTGGAGCTGAGGCTGTAAGCTCAGCGTAGGAGGAAGCTATAGATGAGTGACTGGTGGTGGTGGTGTTTCCCTGCCTTAGGCTTCACATCTGTCCCCATCTATCTGTCCAGGTGAATCAGCGCAATGTCCCTGGGATTGATAGTGCCTACCTGGCGATGGATACAGAAGAAGGTGTGGAAGTTGTTTGGAATGAGGTTCAATTTTCTGAGCGCAAGAATTTTAAGCTTCAGGAGGTAAGTTAGGGTGGAGGCTGTCCTGCACCTTGTGCCAAGAATGTGCCCTGTGGCCAGGTGGGGATCATAGACCATGGTGGCTGAGCATAGTTACATAGCACAGAGTTACAAACCCAGCCGGTCTGAGAGGAGTGCTGAATTGCTCTGATTCTGCAACTGGACGTGGAGAGCTCTGGGCATGCTTGGAACTGAACTGTGTTGCACTTCCAGTGCAGAAAGGATGACAGGCTGGTTCTGTCAGGCCCTGCTCCCTGGATGTGGAACACGGTTTGAATCTGTCAATATCTGTGGCCAAATAATGTCCAGCCACAGTTAGGGGGCAAGGCTCACAGTTTGTATCAGCATGGGGGTCAGATGCTGCTAGTGTTAGGCACACCAGCTGGAACAATGCCATGGGGTAGTGCATGGCGTTGGAACGTCTCGGGACTCAGACATAGGAGAAGAGAAGGTTGGGGAATGGATGGGAATGTTCCTTGGCTTAGGGTGGTAATGTGGTTCTGCTTGTCTGGTTGTCACAGGAGAAGGTTAAAGCTGTCTTTGACAACCTGATCCAGCTGGAACACTTGAATATTGTGAAATTCCACAAGTACTGGGCTGATGTAAAGGAGAACAAGGCCAGGGTAAGTGGCGTAAGAAGCTCCTCTTATCCACTCGCTGGGGATACCGTGGGCTAGAGGGGAAGCAGCAGGTAGTGTCTCATCTTGTCCCTTGCAGGTGATTTTCATCACTGAGTACATGTCCTCAGGCAGCTTGAAACAGTTCCTGAAGAAGACAAAGAAGAACCACAAGACAATGAATGAAAAGGTAATCTCTCCTCCTGCATGTGTGCCCTGCTTTGACTGGGCCATCTCTCCTCTGGAGAGCTCTTTTCACAGGCCCCTTGCTTGTGGTTGGGGTTTGCTCTGTCCCTGCCTACAGTAAAAGCTCCATTCAGCTGCTATCCCTGGCAAAGTCGGCCAGCATAGCTAGGGGTGGCTCTCCAGGGAAGCATCAGGCAGGTTGATGTAACTCTGCAGAGGGAATGAGCTAGTTTTGAGAAGTGCACAGATTGTGCACACCTCTCTCCTGCATGTACCTGAGTGGAAGGAGGGGCTCTGCAGTCATCCTAGAGTACAGAAAGACGGTGGGGGATTTCTTGGTCACTGCATGACTGTGGGGGCTGGGTTGAGCATGGGAGTGGGGATCCAGGGTTACCATTCACCAGTACAGCTGGGATGGGCTGGAGCTTAGAGGCCGGGCTGCAGCAGGAGAGGCGCCTTCCTCCAGATGAGCTGAATTGGTAGCAGTTAGTCCTACTTGCTGATTGTGGCTTGTACTTCACCTTGTATTTTTAGGCCTGGAAGCGCTGGTGCACCCAGATCCTCTCTGCTCTCAGGTAGGTGAAGTAGGGAGATGCCCTGTGTATGAATGGCTAGCTGTTCTGGAGTTCGGCAGTCTGAGCCAGTCTTCCTGGTTAGCTGTGGGATGGAAGTGTGCAGCCTACTAATTAGGCAGTCTAGACAAAACTACTCTTACTAGTAGACTTGGTTTCAAATATGACGACCTCCTCCCCACTTCCTCTTCTGCTGGTAATCCTGCCCCTCCCACAGACCAGAGGCAGATTCAGACTGGTCCTGCAGGCAGCTGGGGACACTGGTCCTGTGAGCCCCAGGTTACTTTTTAAATTGTAAACTCATTCACCACATCACTAGCAAGTTACAAAACTAGAATGAAATATGCAGCCTTGCAAAGAGGAAGGCCTGAATCATCCCATCACTACCATTTTTGCCAAGTACAGATATCCAGAAATAGTTGGGTATCCAGTGAGCCCCTCAGGCTGCTAACTAGGCTAACAAAAGATGCAGGGTAGATATAATCTCTACTTCTGGCTCTTTAAAGAGCCTAGGCCAAGGGCTGGGGAATAAGTTCCGGAACTGATGGCTCTCTGCTAAGAACCCCTTGTCTAAACACATGCGCCCAAAGACAGTCAGCTCTGGGGATTTAGCTTACCTCGACCGCATGGAAACCACACTGATGTGCAAGGTATAAATATCTAGTAGGCCAAGGTGTGTGTCTATGGTACCTGAGAGGCCCTTCTTGATCCGGGTATCTGAACTGTGTGTATGTGTGCACGTACTAGACTGCATGCTCGCTGGGACAAGGGCTAGGTCTAACGTCTACAATACTGGGTACCTTCTTGGTTCCCAGTAAATAAGATCAGAAGGGTGTTCCTTTTGGGGTGGACTCTGCTTTCAGACTTTGGTTTGTCTCAGTATAACGTCTGAACATTTTTGAAACCCCTGTGGTGGTATTCTCATCAGACATCAGGACAAGTAATATTTCTCTTCCTTCCCTTCCCACCCCATCCTCCATTTGTGGTATCCTGGGCTTTTGGGCTCCAAGAGTTGGTCAGAGATAGCTTCCTTTCCTGGGGTCCCTTAGCAGGAGCCAGTTTTATTTTGTGTCTTATTCTTTGTCTCCTCACCCAAAGACTGTGCACACCCAGTTCCTGAATTGTATTGCCCTGGTATTGTAAATACTCTTTTCTGTAATGTTGCCTTTCCAGCAGGGCAGGGAGGAGCTGGGGTGTTCTCCTTCCCACTGCACTCTTTTCACCAGTGTTCTGTTCTGAATTCCCAGCTACCTCCACTCCTGTGATCCCCCGATCATCCACGGCAACCTGACCTGTGACACCATCTTTATTCAGCACAATGGACTGATCAAGATTGGGTCAGGTAAGACTCTCCAGAGGTGATCTTCGACGACAAAGCAGTTAACGTGGTCCATCAATAGTGGGCGCCTAATTCCTGAGCTACTGAGAAGCCACTGGAAGGGATATCTGGGGGGGTGGGCTATGTAAGTACTACTGCTGCCCCTCACCAGAGTGGGGAGAGGGCTGGGCAGGAGGGTATGTCCTGCCTCTTCTGTTCCTGGGGCACAGAGGGGCTCGGTGGCACAAATTGCTTTCCCTTCCAGGCAGTTAGGTCTGGGTTTAGTTCATGTCCTTGAGGCGAGGAATTGAAAGTAAAAATGGCACTGGAAATTCCCAGATTGGGTGTTTGGGCAGAGTCCTCAGTTGTTTAAGCCTCTCCTCACAATCAGGCCTTCCCCAAGGACTACAACTGCCTCTGCCTATTCACACTTAGTCACCCCCAGTGCTGTTGACTTTTGAGAACTCCCTGGAAAATTGTCCCCTGAGGCCACATGAGCGCCCTCTTGGGGGCAACAACTGTTCAGAGCCAAAGTAATGGAAGGATTCTGTGGCCCCTACCCCCTTGGTTCCTTTCGCATGGCTAGCTGCTGACAGTGGGGACACAGTTCATCTCGTAGTGATGGCCTTGGCCTGTGCCTAACAGTGTTGGTGCATGTGTGCCTCTTCTACCATTGTTCAGACCTCTTGCCTCACCATGCACGCCAGCCTAGAGTCACTGCATCTGGTCTGGGCCACAGAACATCGTCTGACTCGGACTAGGCCTCCACGTGCAGAAAATTGGCTTCCAGTCCGGGAAGTCATCCCCACTGAAATGTGAATGTCAGAAGTTGGACAGGCATTTCCTAGGGCAGTGAAAAGCAATGTGCCTGCTCTCTGCCTCCATCTCATCTGTGTTGCTGTTCTTAAGGCCTCTAAGACTTTGTCTGCAACCACGGTGCGCTGTCTGCCATCTTGGCATACCACCCTCCAGCTGACAATGTTGCTGTCTTTGGTCATTCCATCATCACTAGCAAATCCATCCAAAGGCCAAGGCCCTAGCGAATAATATTCAGGCTGACTTGTGACCTGTATCAGTTTGATGCTGCCAGTGTTTGGGGATTTGCCCTTTGAACCCGCTTGTTTCACCTGTCAACTAAAGAGAACATGCAAACATGATCATGCCTACAGTTTTTGTGGCTGATCCTCCTTCACTGTGCTCCAAAGGGACACTGGTGTCCTCATCTCAAATGTATACCACTTATGGTATCTGTATTCCTTCTAAATCAGACAACCAAACTCTGCTTCTCCACGGAAGTTAGACTCCATACAGCAGGTGTCAGAGGCTTCGAACTCGCATAGGATGAAAATGTTGGAAATCCTCTACAGACATTGTATTCCTTGGGGATCACTGCAGAGGAACATCCCCATCAGACCAGTGGATTAGGCTGTGCATTGAGCCCTGTGATCCTTTAGCCAGAGTGGGGAGCTCTCAGGGCCCTGGTGCTTACTCCATTGTCTTTCTGATAAATCTACATTTGGGAACACTTCCCAGGAGTTGCATGTCTGATTTCCCCCTTGTTGGCAAACCACTTGCCCACCATCATTCCCCAAGTTCAGCCCATTGACACTACAGGAAGGAGACTTGACTGGATCTGTGAACTATGCATCCTACCCTTCCTCATTGGTAAGAATCGCATGCAGTTGCAGGTTTTCTGATTGAGTCAGCACTTCATTCAGAGAAGGAATCTACTCTTGACTTGGTATTTTAGATCTGAGGCTTGATTTGGAATGACAGTCTTTAACACTTCTCATACGCCTTCCTGGGGGTGTACTGCTTGCTGGACTCCCACAAATGGGACTATGCAGAGGCTGCCTTGAAGGAGGTTGTCGTGGGTCTTTGAGTGTCTACTTTGCATAGGCATGCTGCCTGCCTGCCTTTGCCTGGGTTTTGTTTTTCTAGTGTGTATTGAAGGAAGTGAAGCAGTTGGAGCCTTGCAGCCTTTCTAAGGACGGTGTAGCGCAAAGGTGCACAAGTGGCCTAACAGGTTGTGCTTTCTAAAAGATCTTCCCCCAGCACTGGGGAGGGTATATCCCGTAAGCGTGAATATGCAGAGGCAATACTCAGAATTAGTTACTAGTAGGCAGCCCTCCCCACTCACAGCTACAGATTGTGCTAGCTGGGACCTTTTTTCCTTTTTCCTTACGTACAGAAGAAGAATGATCGGAATCTCTGATTGAAACATTTCTTTTAAGTAAAGGAGATGAACACTAAAATGGGTCTATGATCATAAAAGCTCCACTCTGTGTAGTAGCTCTCCTCCCAGCGTGCCCTAGAGTCAGAGCTGCTGACGTCAGTGACCTCATTCCCCCTCCTACAGCGCCCACACAGCTATAGGAGAGGGAGCTGGAGTCCAGTCTGAATAGTTAAGTGCATTCCAACTGCGTGATCTCTATTCCCTCTGACTATGGGAGCCAGCAAAACCAGTGTGACCCTCAAATCATAGGGAGAGTTTATGGTACTCTAGGATCCTTCAGGCAATAAATATGGAGCCTATGTTGCCATTTAGTCACTTTTCAGGGACTAGCCAAACTTTGAGAACCCTTACTATCCTGTGTGTAATTGAAAGGAATTGGTAAGTAGCTCAGTTCTGACAGTGTGAGGGGGAGCAGTGACTGGCAATGCACAGAAAAGCAGAACTCAGATGCCCCTATATGCCCAGTGCTGTCCCTCACTGCACTGCTCTGTTAGAACAGAAGGGCATGAAAGTGAGAGCAGGTTCAGTTCTCTTTGGGCTGAAGCAGCAGGTGAAGCTGGCACTGGGAGCAGGAGGATGGGGGAAGTTGCCACGTTGCCCTGTTTAAAGGAAGAACGCATAACTCCAGCTGGGCTGGAAATGTTAAAGGTGCATGGTGCTTCTGGGGCAGCTGGCTCCTTTAAATAATGTAACACTATCGATTGGGTGCTGTAGCCTCTAGTGCAGCTGCAGGAGCCAAGGCAGCTTGCTGCCTGCCTGGCAGCCCAGCTACGCAGTGCTCCCTGTGCAATATTTGGAGTTGAGGTAGCATGTGCAGGGGCAGGACTGGTCCAGCTCTACATGCAGTCCTGGAGCAATACAATCCCTTTTCTTCACCCATTCTTCATAGGCACCCTGAGGGGGAGGTGGGACTTGCAAGAAGGAAGGACAATCAAGAAGCCCAGTCTGGGTACCAGTGTCTCAGAAACTGGTTGTTGGAGGGTGTGGGGAGTGGTAAGCTGCAGAGCAGTAAATAGAGCTGTGGATGAAGGGGATCATCTGACAAAGAGGTGGGTTGGGATGGACAAAGGATATGGGATAGTGATGGGTATAGTGCAAAGGCCACACAGTGCTGGGGCAGCAGTCCATCTGTTCCTGAGCCCATGTGGTCTTTTTCTCACATAAAAAGTGGGTTTAGGGATAGCGGAGAGGGGAGTTATTAAGGCACAGGGAGCGAGGGGACTGGGAAGGCTGTGGCCAGAGCAAGGGAGATACCGGCACTTCTTTCTCCAAGTCAGAATGTTGTGGGGGGAGAGAGAGAATGTTTTGAGCTACTCCGTCAACTTCTTGTGTTCAGTTTAAATCACCTAGAACTAAAAGCTGCCTGCTTCCCTGTGCATTTCACCAGACGATGTTCCCAGAGCCCCTATCTTACTGTCAGGAGAGCGCTGTGGTTAGGATGGCAATTGCCTTTCCTCTCGCATTGGCTGCAGTGATTATAATCTCTCCGATGTTGCAGGGGGCTTTCTTTTGAAAATGCAGCTTGCTTCTGAAGGGTTCGTGGCCTGGAGATCCTTTGGGTGGGTCGGGGGAGAAAGTTGCCATGGTGGCAGAGGTGGGGGTGGTACTGTCTAGGAGAAGGGATCCTGGAGGAAGGAGATTCCAGGGAGATGCTGGGTTGGACCTAAGGGGCTGTCAGGCAGGGCCCTTTAGGCAGAAGCGGGGAGAAGAATGTGATGTGAACTGGAAGCTCCAGTGTGGAATATGGCTGCGGGCTTTTCTCTCCAGGTTCACAGACTTCTTGGGAGTCACTTTGTAGGTGTTAGCAGAGGCCTGAGCCCAGGGGGCTGTGAATGTGAGAGCCAGCCTGTGGTATGGAGGAGCTCTGTAGGTGCATCATTGGGAACTGTTTGCTCTTGGTGAGCAATACCTTGCATAGGGCAGCTTTTAAATGCATAGCAGAATTGGAAACTCTTAAACTGAAGTCTGGGTCTGCTGATGAATTCTGGGGCTGCCCTCAGTGAAATCTGACTGGGTGGTGTATTGTGCTCCCCCAAAAGATTATATAGTCATTTCTTCAGTGACTGGGTGTGGGTGGCTTTGGAACATGTTGGGGATTGGTCCTGCTTTGAGCAGGGGGTTGGACTAGATGACCTCCTGATGTCCCTTCCAACCCTGATATTCTGTGTTGGTCCCCAAGGGCTGTAAGGGTAGCTTTTGTGGGAGAGTCCCGAAGATATTCGTAGAGTCTGCCTTGGGCCATTCATCACTTGCCACAAGCACCTTTTTGTCCTCTAAACGTGCTTGTTGGGCTTTTGGGTTGGATACATCCAGTGTGTCTCTGTATAGCCCAGCCATCACTAAATCCCCACTGTGGGTGCTCGGGGAACATGGGACTTGACCTGAAGTTCGTGTTCATCCAGACAGCAAAACAAATTGAGTGCCAAGGCATGTGGTATGGGTGCGACTGCTAAAATCCATGTGGGGTGTTAGCTCTACTCCCAGCAACATGCTGCCCATATCTGCCCGCTGAGCATGGGCACAGGGACTGGACAATGGTGGCTGAGTGACGTGGTTGGAATTTCAGCCTCCCCAAAAGCCCAGAGTCTCGAACATAATGCCCTGGTGGGTGTGAGAGGCCCCCAGAGCCCACCTCTCCTTTGCCCTCTACAGTTCTTGGTGTGTAGAGGCATCATGCTCCTGGCTTAGAGTCAGCAGGTGTGAGGGCTATTGAAAGGGCAGCCAGCCTCTTCCTTTTGTCCCTGTTTTGCCTGGTTCTACCCAGCTGTCTGTATTGATGTTAAGTGCTTGCTGTTTCATCAACTCATCGACTTCTATCTTGTTTTACTTCCCGCTTACGGGCTGCTCTGTTACCAACAGTCTTTCATAGGATTTTTGCTAATGGTGAGCAAACTTCTCCGCTCCTGTGATGTGACTGTGTCACTATATATATAATGTTCATTATATATATAATATATAACTTATCTATACGGTGTTCCCTTGCTATAAGGCTGGTGTATAAAACTGTCCAGCATAGGCCCCCCCTGCCAGCAATAGCCCTGTCCTGTTCTGGGAGATAATCTATTCCTTGTGCTCCCAGCCAAAGCCTTACAGAGAGGGACACTGCCTTGTGTGAAGTCTTCTAAATGTTAGTTCTGTCCCTTCTCCTTGTTCTTAGACTGCACTAGTCTGTGGCCCTCATTGCATGCCAGCTCTTGCATGTCAAGCGAGATAAATGCATTGTTCTGACTGCTCGAAGCCAAGCTCTCCATGTACATCTGGCTCTTACCTGCTGCTGCTCTGCGGGGCTTGGCTGAGGGCCAGACTTAGACCAGGCTCTGCTTCTTGCTTGGACACCCTGCAGCTTGCTTGTAGCTTTAACCCCATAGACATTTTGTTTTCAATCTGAATGTTTCAACGAAATGTGTTCTGCACCTGGTGACTAGGCAGATCTTCCACCCAGGTGAGCCCGTAGCTGTGAAATGAGGCCCATCTCTCCTTAGCCAGGCCTTTGGCATTCAGTGAGCTCACCTGAGCTCACGTGTGTTTGTGGGCAGGGAGTTTGCTGAAGCTTTTGGGTGGAGCAATGGCAGGGGCTGTTGGATTGCCCCCTTGGTTTACTTAATTCATAACCATGTTGGGTTTGACATGAGGAAACAAACAAGGAGTCCACCCTTAGTGATCCTGTTCCACCTTCTGTCAAATGGGAACGATTATGGGGCAATGCTCCGCTTTCCCCAAACCCTAGTCACCACCACCTAAGGGGCTGTCAGAATAAACTCTGTGGGTTCCCCATGTCTGCAGATGTTCTACAGTAGGGGTAGACCAAAGCTTCTCCCAAGGTGGCTGGTCCAGAGTCTCTTCGCGTTGATGGTGAAGTTATTGGGTGTCGTGTGGTCTTAGCAGTATAGCAGATCTCCTTTTTCCAGAGTCTGATCTGCAAGGGAGCTAAGAATTAGGTGGCAGCATATTGTGCTGAGAGTCTGGCTCTGAAAAGTGTCAAGTGACTGGACAAATCCCTCTCCCCAGCAGGCTGCTCTGGAGTGTGGAGGGGAAGGTGTGGCACACAAGGAGCATTGTGTCAGTAAGCACGTTACAGCGCTGCAGTGGGGACATATGTTGGGACAAAATGCAACCTGTTGTTGGGAGCAGCTTCAGCACCATCACCCAGAAAATCCTTCTGCAGTGGGCACTGATTGCCCACCTCATGGCTGCTGGGCTTGGAGCCCTCAGGAGGTGTTACTTCATAGTTATTACACCATTCTGCCTATAAACAAAGCTAAGATCGCAACCGATAACGTACGGCAGTGCCCCCTGGGAAATGCTGTATTGTTAGCTACTCAGTGGTCTTGGAGACACCTGCAGAGGGGAAAAAAAACCCTCATGGGACCTCAGTTTTGCTGGAACAGAACTGAGACCTCCTTCGAACCTCAGGCTTTCTCAGCCAGTCTCTTGAGAGCTAGACCAAAAGACTGGAATGAGTTTTACTGCGTTATCCCCTCACACTTTTGGCTCATGAGTGCTGGGAATTAGACTCCTCAGTCACTTAGATACACTTGAAAATGTTAGCTAGTGTGTAGCTGTTCTTCGTGCATCCAGTTGGACTTGGTCATTTTTTCCACTCTTTGAATTTATCACCTGGTGTTCAGGGCATGTCATATTATCATTTTCATATCTCTAACAGGCGGCATGTAAGTCGCATTTGTCACTTCACAGTGTACGTGTTTAGTGTTGCAGGAACTAGGACAGGGATTACTTTGGTATCTTGGACTCCCTTCCCCCCTTAATGCACAAGGTCACTCAACCATTCTGTCGTCTTTGCCTGAAGCTACAATGGGTTTGATGGGGGTCAAAACTCCCATATTGACCACTAGAATATGATTGTTACTTCTATTTTGTGTCCTCTGCCTCTGTATTGCCACTGACAGCAGCATATGTACACATTATGGACTGCACACAACATAAATCCACCCCTTGATCCTAATGATGCACAAGTTATACAGTAGAATTTGGGAAGTGATGGCAGGATGTCTGTCTTGGAGAGAGAGGGTATGTCTACACACAAAATTAGGTTGAATTTATAGAAGTCGGTTTTGTAGAAAGTGTTTTTATACAGTCGATTGTGTGTGTCCCCCCACAAATGCTCTAAGTGCATGTAGTCGGCGGAGTGTGTCCACAATACCAAGGCAACCATCGACTTCCGGAGCGTTGCACTGTGGGTGGCTATCCCACAGTTCCCGCAGTCTCCGCCGCCCATTTGAATTCTGGGTAGAAATCCCAGTGCCTGATGGGGCTAAAACATTGTCGCGGGTGGTTCTGGGTACATATCGTCAGGCCCCCTTTCCCTCCCTCCCCTCCGTGAAAGCAAGGGCAGACAATCGTTTTGCGCCTTTTTTCTTGAGTTACCTGTGCAGACGCCATACCACGGAAAGCATGGAGCCCGCTCAGCTAACCATCACCATATGTCTCCTGGGTGCTGGCAGACGCGGTACGCATTGCTACACAGCAGCAGTTTATTGCCTTTCGGCAGCAGACAGTGCAGTACGACTGGTAGCCGTTGTCGCCGTAGTCCAGGGTGCTCTTTTAGCTGACGTCGATGAGGTCAGGGGCTCCTGGGCAAACATGGGAGTGATTCAGTCAAGTCATTTCCCTTTTAAGTTTCGTCTCATGGCGATTCAGTCCTACCGGCAGTGCACTGTCTTTTAATCTGCAGCCAGCAGAAGACGATGGCCAGCAGTCATACTGCACTGTCTTCTGCCGAGCACCCAGGAGATGACGATGGCTAGCAATCCTACTACACAGTCTGCTGCCAGCAAGATGTATAAAGATAGATGAAGTGGATCAAAACAAGAAATAGACCAGATTTGTTTTGTATTCATTTTCTCCTCCCTCCCTCTGTGAAATCAACGGCCTGCTAAACCCAGTTTTGAGTTCTATCCTTAAGGGGGCCATTCAGTTTCTCGCAAAGCCACCCCCTTTGTTGATTTTAATTTCCTGTAAGCCATCCCTGAAAGCCATGTGGTCAGTTGCCCCTCCCTCCGTCAGAGCAATGGCAGATAATCGTTCCGCGCCTTTTTTCTGTGCAGACGCCGTACCACGGCAAGCATGGAGCCTGCTCAGATCACTTTGGCAATTAGGAGCACATTAAACACCACACGCATTATCCAGCAGTATATGCAGCACCAGAACCTGGCAAAGCGAAACTGGGTGAGTAGGCGACGTCAGCGCGGTGACGAGAGTGATGAGGACATGGACACAGACTTCTCTCAAAGCACGGGCCCTGGCAATGTGGGCATCGTGGTGCTAATGGGGCAGGTTCATGCAGTGGAATGTCGATTCTGGGTTCTCGGGAAACAAGCACAGACTGGTGGGACTGCATAGTGTTGCAGGTCTGGGACGATTCCTAGTGGCTGCGAAATTTACGCATGCGTAAGGTCACTTTCATGGAACTTTGACTTGCTTTCCCCTGCCCTGAGGCACAAGAATACCAAGATGAGAGCAGCCATCACAATTGAGAAGCGAGTGGCAATAGCCCTGTGGAAGCTTGCAACACCAGACAGCTACCGGTCAGTTGGGAATCAATTTGGAGTGGGCAAATCTACTGTGCGGGCTGCTGTGATGCAAGTAGCCAACACAATCAAAGATCTGCTGATATCAAGTGTAGCGACCCTGGGAAATGTGCAGGTCATAGTGGATGGCTTTGCTGCAATGGGATTCCCTAACTGTGGTGGGGCCATAGACGGAATCCATATCCCTATTTTGGCACCAGAGCACCAAGCCGGTGAGTACATAAACCGCAAGGGGTACTTTTTGATAGTGCTGCAAGCACTGGTGGATCACAGGGGACGTTTCACCAACATCAACATGGGATGGCCGGGAAAGGTACACGATGCTCACATCTTCAGGAACTGTGGTCTGTTTCAAAAGCTGCAGGAAGGGACTTTATTCCCAGACCAGAAAATAACTGTTGGGGATGTTGAAATGCCTATAGTTATCCTTGGGGACCCAGCCTACCCCTTAATGCCATGGCTCATGAAGCCACAGACAGGCAGCCTGGACAGTAGTCAGGAGCTGTTCAACTACAGGCTGAGCAAGTGCAGAATGGTGGTAGAATGTGCATTTGGACGTTTAAAAGAGCGCTGGCGCAGTTTACTGACTCGGTTAGACCTCAGTGAAACCAATATTCCCATTGTTATTACTGCTTGCTGTGCGCTCCACAATGTCTGTGAGAGTAAGGGGGAGACGTTTATGGTGGAGTGGGAGGTTGAGGCAGATCGCCTGGCCGCTGGTTACGCGCAGCCAGACACCAGGGCGGTTAGAAGAGCACAGCAGGGCGCGCTGCGCATCAGAGAAGCTTTGAAAACCAGTTTCATGACTGGTCAGGCTACGGTGTGAAAGTTCTTTTTGTTTCTCCTTGATGAAACCCCCCGCCCCTTGGTTCACTCTACTTCCCTGTAAGCTAACCACCCTCCCTTCCTCCCTTCGATCACCGCTTGTGGAGGCAATAAAGTCATTGTTGCTTCACATTCATGCATTCTTTATTAATTCATCACACAAATAGGGGGATAACTGCCAACGTAGCCCGGGAGGGGTGGTGGAGGAGGGAAGGACAAGGCCACACAGCACTTTAAAAGTTTAAAACTTATTGAATGCCGGCCTTCTGTTGCTTGGGAAATCCTCTGGGGTGGAGTGGCTGGGTGGCTGGAGGGCCCCCCCACCGTGTTCTTGGGCATCTGGGTGAAGAGGCTATGGAACTTGGGGAGGAGGGCAGTTGGTTACACGGGCTGTAGGGGCGGTCTGTGCTCCTGCTGCCTTTCCTGCAGCTCAGCTATACGTTGGAGCCTATTAGTTTGATCCTCCAGCAGCCTCGGCATTGAATCCTGCCTCCTCTCATCACGCTGCTG